GAAGTCGGTAAAAACAAACACGCGTCAGCCCCGAATGATATATCCCGAGCTCCTAACATCGTTTTGTTCGCAGCTATGGATCAGCTTGCCCCTCACACCCCGCCCGATTGCCCTGTCTAGACCGCTTCGTTGGACGACTTTATCTAGACTGTGGTAAAACCTAAACTATTCACTACTTATGTTAGGAATCCCATGTAATAGAGGGTGTGCCTATTGCTATATACCGGCCACAATCCAGATTCCGTGCTACAACTGAGAATTTTTTTTAAATCCAGTAGTGATATGCTCGACCCGACTGAATTATAGAGTGGAAGAGTAAACAGTAAACTTAAGAAACAATATTATGTACATCTACTCGGCCCACAAACGAGGACTTATCCTAACTACAAAATAAATAGATTCCATCGACCGACGTGACTTTTAAGTACAATAAGGCTTTTTAATAGTTCATGGTTTAACAAAACTACAACACAAGCACACAGCATGATGTTTTTTGGTAATTATGATCCCTTGCATGGCTAACAGTTTAATATCAATCCAGATTTATAGAAAAAAGACATGTTACACTATCAAAAGATGTTTAAACATAATTATATACAATGCACACGCCAAAGCAAACGTATAATAAGCGTGTATTGTCAGAATTTTAATTAGATTCCAGATTTGACAATAGCTACTGTCATTTTGTGAAATAATGATACCACATATAATAGTGTAGTGATGCACATAAAAATCGATAAACAATCAGTGTGTGTGTTTTATAATAAATGTATAGAAAGTGTCAGGATAGCGATAGCGATGACGGCGACAATTTATAAAATAACTTATTACCGTAATACATCTATTAGTTTTATTTGTCATGTTTCTTCATGATTACATTTTTTTATTTATTTCACACACAATTATAAAAGAAAAGTCTCAGATCGTTAATTAATCGTCAAAACTAAATTATCGGTTCAGAAATATTTAATTTCCTGATATACTTAGTTTACGAGAGTAAAATTATAAACGCGAAGAATCGATCCAGAAATATTGCATTTCCACATCGAATAATTTCGCAACGTCACTATTTAGTACTTGTCATAACGTTGCAACACTGAAATTGTCAAATCTGGAATCGAATTAAAATTCCGAGTATAGATGACTAATCAATTACAATGCATTATAAACGTCAAAAAGGACGTTTTTCTACGAGATATTTTTTTTTACTTTAACTAATGAATTCGGTGTTACCAAGCTAATTAATAACAAAAGTACTATTAAATATTCCTTCTAAATTGTGACCCATCTCTAAACCAACAGATACAAAACAAACTCGCGATTTTACCCCTCATACGCGTCCAAATTTAGCTTAAAGGCACATCAATGAGATTAATTTCTCCCCTAGCTAAAAACATGTTTTGTTTGACAAAGTAAATTATGTACCTGGTCCTGTGTCTAGACAAGGGTCTAGACACATAGAGGGAAGATGATTGGGACAAAGTAAAAGCAGGTATCAATTTACCCTTTGATCTGAATGAATCTCCCCTTTGGCGTTCTGTACAAACATTATGTCAATCATATGTCTGGATCACTATTTTTCTTTTGATGTAAACAATAGATACTAAAGATCAAAAGTATTTTTAGACACTTTTTGCGTGGGTCTTGACTTATGTTACATACAGGTTTTGTTCGTGTTTTATATGTAGACTTGTGATGTTAGTAAGTAGAGCACGAATGACGTAGATAATTATAGATATGTGGATTATAAAAGGAAAGGGATGGCATATAATAATGTAGATAGATATACAAACATTTCGAACACGAAGAAGGATTATTAATAATAATAAAATAAATATCCCAAATAATTTCACGTCTTAACATTACGTATATATGAAATAGTTTCCCGATGCTTCCATGACAATAAAATACATTTACACCCCATCTTAAATTCAGCACAAATAAAATTATATTTAGTCGCGCCTAGCGGATTGCGTTCATTTCCTTGAAGTTGCTCTCAGTTAATATAAGACTGAAGACATTAGTAATATAATAGTATGTATGACAACTGGTTTAAAATATAATAAATAACAATTATTATTATATGTTCACGAAGAACGCAATAGCATATCCAAATATAACAAATATCTTGAAAAGACAGATCAAGTGTTTGCCATTGCAGCGCTATAACATTAAACCTAGCATAAAATTCGCGGCAGGGCAATAAACACTAAATTCTTTAGTCGCAATAATGAGAAACTATGTAAGTAGCAATCATTTAATATATTGGTAACATAATTCCAACTATATGATGACTGACAAATGCAATGCAGACAACAATAACCTTCGTAGAATCAAGAACGCTGACAAGACAAACGAATAAGCCAAAATTATTGCGAAGTACTTAATGAATAATTACAATAATCTTCTACAGTGAATTACCATCGCAAAAGCACCGTAAACCTATCTAACACTAGATGGAAACATCTTGCTTTTGTCAATCGTTTGCATCGCTATATTGTTTTTGATCACATCGCAACTCGCTTCAGCTCGCTAAGACTCTAACGACTGAAAGGCTACTACTCAATTTTAAATTGTACTTAAATATTGTGCCATCTCTGTTAATCAACAAATAATTAATAGTTACAGAACTATACTTAAGGGCGAGTTAAAATTGAGTAGCATTTGATTATATCGACATAAGTGCTTAAGATTTATTTAAACATCTTTATAATCTTTTTCTTTTTTATCGATTTAAAAAACTATATTTTTCATTCATATACTTGTCGATATTAAAAAAGGAACATTCAATTCTCCGGCCCTTTTTTGTCTCGCATTTAATTTCGCTTTAAACTAGAAAATTCTACCATTTGAAAGACGTAATATGGTTAAGAAGTAGGATTTGCAAGAGCAAATATTGCTATTTTTTATTTGTCCATTTATTTTTGCATCATAGGCCCATATTAACACTTTAAACTTGTATATTATCAATACTATACATACATTACAAACAAATACCAAAACAAATGTATGCAGCTATGAGACTAACGAAAATTTGTTCTGATTTATGTATGCGCAAGAGATAAAAGTGCCAGGTAATCACGCAAACGCCCGAATACTGAAATCCTACTCAAGTTTAAGTTGTACTTAAATATCGTGCTATCTCTGTCTGTCAGTTAAGAATAGTTATTTATATACTATACTTAAGCGCGGCTAGTTTCCTAGGTTTAAAATAAATTGTTTCAACTTTTCGATGCAATAAATAATTAAAAAATAATCATACTCTTCGATTGATTTGACAATTTACCTACTTTTGAATTATTTCTCGCTAATTTTAAGGAAAAAAGTACATATGCTATTTGACGCAGAAATGTTATGACGTCATAAGTTGCGATCCAATACAAAAATCCTAGAATAGTATCGTTTTTGACATTTTAATAAAAGTATTGAATTTGACTACCTGTCAACAACCGTAGAAATTTTAATCGCTAAAGCACACAGCTACTTGAAAAGAAGAAGGCTTCTTCTTTTCCTAAGAGACTTTATTTATTTCAAATGATGAACTTTATTCAAATTTCTATATGAACAATGGCTAAAGGTTTTGAGAACATTTGAGACATTGATGCACAATATTATGCATATATCTATCGCAACGCACAACAAGCCGAATCAAACTTTTATTACATTAGCATAGGGTTAAAACTGCAATGCAAGGCAAACACTCGAACAGTCATGAAAGCAACAACGAACGTCTAGTACAAATAACGACGAGAGCGAAAATGAATCATTACGTCGTTAAACTAAGGTTGAATTTTAAACGACATATTTCATACTACTTAAATATAACTGTATAATTATAATATATTTTACCTAACCTTCAATTTTTAAAATATAATTATTTTCATCTGGAAATGACAAGAAGGAACATATAAAATCCTTTTCTGGAAGTAGTGCGACTAACAATAGATGGTGTTACATATTTTGTGTAACATACCTAGTTATAGATACCTGTAACACAACTAGAATTTTTATAGTCATGTCGTATAATAATGCGAATTAGTTTTCCAATACAATACAAATGACATTGAATTCATAAGGACGCATAAGATCTGCAACTGGGTAGTTTCAAAGGTTTAAAATAAATTGTTTCAACTTTTCAATGCAATAAATAATTTAAAAATAATCATATTCTCATCAATTGATTTGACAATTTACCTACTTTTGGATTTTTTCTTGCTAATTTTAAGGAAATAAGTATGCTATTTGACGCAGAAATATGACGACGTCATAAGTTGCGATCCAATACTGAATTCATAGAAAAATATCATAAATAATATTGATTTTGACTACCTATCAACTACCGTACTACTTAAGACCTTTAAATGTTTTATATTTGAGGTTTAACTGCGAAGTAGGTAAAAAAATGTGACAAAGCATATGTGATATAAAAGAAAACAGTCAAAAGCCTAAAACACATCCAAGACATCTCAATTATTTATGAGATAACAACCAAAAACGAACCTTTTTAGAAGCTCATCATATGAGGTCATGAAAATGTCGAGACCCAAATAAAACAAAATTATTCAATACAATAATTGTGGACTGGTATATTTTTTGCTATGTAGCCATCTGCCGTATTTCAAAAGAAGTACCAACGAATATGAAACCAGTTTTAAAAAAGGACGACAGACGAATGCTGAGGGTGTAACCGAGGGGAGTGGTATTTTGCAAACAACTCTTTTAAAATGACCTTGGACTAGTACTTACAAACGATTCAGGAGTTACATATTATTAGGTAGCTAGCGCCTAGCTCCACCTAGCTTTACTGACGGACTGACTGATAGACTATTATTTATTTTGTATTTGTTGACGTTTCAAAAGTACCAAATTATGGTTTAATTGAAATAAATGCTTTGACTTTGTAGGTAATTAAAATAATTTTTTTCTGGGTTTTTTTTTTTGTTTTGATCATCTGTTAATTTCAATTAAATAATTATGTTATATTTTATTAATACCGAGACTTAGCCTATTTTGATGATTACAATTATAATATTATACTCAATATTTTGTTTTTCCTACTTGTATCGTACCTACCGATGGCGCCATCTGTTGGCAAAAATTCGTAGTACGATTATGTCATAGTTTCATCGCTTCCTTACGTCAAATTCTTTAATTATTTTTATTTTCACGCCTTAACTGTACAGATATGTTGTCATTAAACAATGACTTATTTATTAATGATTTTTATTAGATTCTTGGTGGATTTTCTTCTAAGAATTAATTTTGTGTTACATAAATAAAATAATATACAATACTGAATCGATTCAAACCTTATAATGTTACATATTTTATATAAGTATCGGTAATAAACTCAAAATAAAATATTAGTTATACCATAGATATAATATTATTTCTGTGAGTGATACTGTTTTACTTAGCAATTTTCTTTGACAAATAGCATGCTTAGTTCCTATTTCTAACATATAAAACTTCAGATTTCTTGATGTATAAACATAATAATACTTACTATACTGTACTACCTATATAAATACTTTTTTAAAATACTTATTGTTAGTATGTAATTAATATTAGTATGCAAACTATGCAATGCATATTAATATTCTGAATAAATACATAATCCATTGTAACTTTGAATAATGATCAGAATTAGAAACAAAGCGACCTATCCACTACTATCCATTCAAAAGAATTTAAAATACCATTTTAGAAAATTAAATTATAGTTTTCAGTTACCTTTTCAGTCATTTCCAGATAACTATACATAAAAGGCTTACCTGAAATAGAATCAGCATTGGTGTCTGGATTCTCTAATAAATGGTAGTCAGCATTGGTATCCAATCCCTCGGCAATACTCTGCCAGGCTTCCTTAGAATTATTGCTATTGTTGCTGCTCTGGTGTATATTATCAACATCACCATCTCCTATACTGGATTCTCTTTTTAATTTCGGCTTTTTCTCTTCCCCATCTTGATTGTGACGTCTTCTTCTTTTATATGGTGTGAATAATCGTACTGGTCCCATCGCTGAGGAGTGAAATATCAGCTTCAGCTTGCTGTTCAATTGGGAGCAAAGGATAGCCTGATACTATTTTTTTATGGAATAGGAGGCATAAATTTTTATGTAGCATACGGATCACCTGATGGCAAGCGATCAGCGCCATAATAATATACTATGTAACTATGTACTTATGCAAGTTTCATGTACTAATATAAGCTATGTCTTGTATCATCACTCCATTACTCCAGGCCTGCATTTTAATAGTTATTAAATACTTATTTTATAAAGACTACTTATAGTCATAGTTAAGTGTAACAAATAATATTTTTAATTAGTTACATTTTCATTTTAAAATTCTAAAGCTACCTCTGATAGGCAGTCTGAAATAGTTTTTTACTGACTTAATTCTGCCAAGATTCTTCAAATCAGATAGAATTTTATTTTGAAACCATTTCATACTGATTTTGTTGGATCTTCTTATTAATTTTGCTCTAGTAATTTATGTCTACTAATTATGTTATTATCATTGTTCACAACATAACTATGTTGATTCAGCTGATTTGGTGAATTATGCTGCTTTAGTAAAATGCCTTCTTGTATCTATCTATGTTAATGTTCTACCTTCACCAATAAAATTATCTAAATAGGTTACAATTGTTGTTAATATAATGAAAATGGTCTAAAAATGTGGAAAATATTACAGAAATGTTATGAATGTGTTCAATTGAATAAGTAGATTGTTTGTTGACTAAGAACTGAACATTAAGAGTATTTTTTTTAAATGCATAAAGAATTTTATAATACCCGGTGTTTGCAATAATATCTACTGTATGTCACCTGAATTCTTTCTTTTTTGTTGTAATAAACAGTGTCCAATAGCCAGATTAGTCTTTTTCAGCACTCTTTCAGCATCAATTAGGATAAGACATAGTTCTACATAGCGGGATGAAAAAACTTTACAATTGATTAAAAATATTGAGCTCTTTAACATAGATAGTGTTTTGTATTTGTTTTGTATCCATGTATATGCTAACAGTATCTATGAAACACCAGTTTAAGCATTTATCTAGTTCATTATTTATAAGCCTATTTGTTTATATTTCTGTTTGTATTTAATTATTGAAGCAAGTCAAAGTTAATTTAGGTTATTTATATATTCTAATGATCAGACCTAATGTATAACCTCCTTCAGGAGTAATCAAGCTAGAATCCTACAGATTCAGAGTATAGGCATGAAGCTATTGGCACAATAACTAATTCTAATTTGTTGTAGTTTTGTTTTAAATTAATTTACTGAATTTACCCAATCACTCATAAGCCATATTTTGTTATGACACAAATGTAACCTAAACTCTTTTGAGGTTGTACTATTCTGTTTATTTACTTAGCAGTATATAAGAATTATTTTACTTCTTTTAGTTATGTGAATGAATGATTGAGCCAGGCTAAACTACTAACTTACTGTATCAACAAACAAAGTACTGTCAGAATCCCCACCTGTCTGGTCATCACAGCAAGCCCCACAAGTACAGCTTGTGGCATGAGGGGTCAGTATTCCCTCATCTATCAGTGCCTGGATGCTGCGCCCTCCAAACCTAATAGATCTTTTCCAGTCTTTACTAGAAGCCCTTCCACATAAGGCTTCAAATTCACTAGGAGTGTACCATTCCATTCCGTATTTTATACACCTTCCTCTACCCCCAGAACCAAATCTTTGTTTATGAAGTTCGGCTGGCGTATTTTTACATCGAATAGGCAGTATTGGCATGCTAGCAGTCTCAGCCCATGATCGAGCGCTTGTATGTCGAGCACTTGATGCACTAGAGCTACTCTCCTCTGGTCGTGTCACTGGCGAATTAGGGTTTTGGATCACAATATGAGTTGGTTTTATGTCATCTGACACAGATACGGGCCCACCTGATATAAACCCATTATCAACACATATCATAGGTTTGAAATGTGGCAACTGATCTGACGTTATCACGTTAAATGTGGTGCCAGTAATAAGTGTGCCGACCGGCAGAGAAACTGGTACCGTGACGACGCCATTAGAATCACTAGATAATCTCGTATTTTTGATTGCAGTCGACAAAACAGCCCCGCCATCAGATCGGTCGGCATCGTGATCGGCCCCCGCCGACAGGGGATCGGCTTCGGATACTTCGGTAATGTCCGGCATAACGACGTTGTCCGAACCTCTATTCTCCGCCATATCTTGTTTCCGCCCACCCAGGCATACACCTTTGCGGTGCGGACGAATTTTAGCAATCACATTAACGTTTTACAACTGGTATGCACTCACACAAAATGATTATGAACTTCGTTCACACACCATTCTAGATCCGCCATAATTAATTGAAAAATAAAAAAAACATTTCACGTACGCTACTTAGGTTATGGCGGGAATTTTGAAAACCTTTATCCTAATCTCTCTATTATACGGTAGTATAATTCAACGTGTTTTCATACGTTGCAAGTGCAATAATAAATCTGAAGATATTTAAATTATTTTTATAAAATATTGCAATTATTCTGATAACTTTATACAACTTTTGCTTTTACCAGTGCCATATTATACGAAAAAAAGAATGTATCTGATTGTAAATAAGTGCAAAAAGTATTTGTTCAATATTTTTGACAGTGGTTATCAGTAAGTGTTGCCAACCTATCAAGTCGATCGATAAGCGTATTGTTGTACCAATTTCCTGTGTTCTTTTAAATTTCTATTAGAAATGAAAGAATAGGATAGTTAACATAACGTTTACACCTCATACTAGATGATACAATAATTTAATCAAGCTTTGATGGCGGTAAATTAGAAACAATAGACTCTGACACTTTTTGTAATTTATTCTATTCTTGATGTCTATTAATTACATGGTTATCCTTAATTTATCAATGTTGAAAAATAAGCATACAAATTGATTAAAAAAAAATATTAACTCAGTTTTCAAGAAGTGCAAGAAAGAGATAGCTAGCAGAAACAGCTGTCAACTACTCCGTAACTCCGTGTCTCCGACTCCGACTTCGACCGATTCAATCACGTATTTGTGTGCGTCTAACGAATGGTCAAAATATGGCAAAATTGCATGGTTGTTATTTCTACTGTAAAGATTATAAAGGGTGTGTATTAATCAACAACAAATATAAATCTTGAAATAACGTGTGTATGGCCATTCAGAAAAAGATTAAAAAGTAATCCAAGACGTAGTCGGGTTCTTTAGGTTCTTGTTTTGTATAGCTACATTACATACCTACGACCTAAATTAATTTTAATTATTACACGGAAGGTTTTTAAACAATATTGTACTTGACTTTCTGAAAAACCGGCAGTGCGAACCAGACTCAAGCGCGAAGGGTCGTGGTGTGATACAAATGACGCTTAGCGCCATCTATCGACGATGAGTGGAAGTTCGTTAGATTACCCGCCCCTAATCTGTTATTATATCCAAAGGCAACACAGGTGCAGTTCAGGCACTGTAAAAGGTACCTAAATGAGAAACGAGAAAGGTAGCTACTGACTAGAAACAAAAATAACTTTACAATAATACGAGAACCAAATTTACATCAAATACATTTATTTCACTACTTACAATAAAACATTGAGTAGGTATTTAATAATACGTAGGTATACTTAATATTATTAACACTTTGACCACCACGACCTTAGTAGAATATAATGACAAAAAATTAATCATTTCGATCGAGTTATCCGCTGTTAGACGCCTAGCTAGACTAGAACACGCTTTTTTGGGATGGCGGTCAAAAAGTTAATATAAATAATCTTAAATTTTATAAATCATTTCGAAGATTTTATATAATAGAATACTAGAATTATTCATAATAATTTAAGTCTCTGCTTTGGCAGTAGTTTGTGGTTTTGGCGTAAATCCTAGGTGCATGGCACACACTACACAAATTACCACGAGAAATATAATTGATTAATTACTTATAGTGTGTTTTCACAGTATTTTATACTAAATACATTCAATAAAGACATCAAAAAGTCTTAAAATTAAAACTTTCTTACTCTACATCTACACAGATCAAAAATATTATGTAGGTATAGTTTAAAAGTGTGTTTGTATATAGGTAAATAGTAACTGTTTTCAGTTGTACAGCTAACAAGAAGGAGTACACTACAGGGTACAAGATATGGGCTAACCTGAGCCTTATAAATAACATTAAAAAGGGTAAATGTAAAAAATTTCCATTTACATTGTTTTAGTAATACACACTTGCTTACTACATAGACTTAAATTCGATGTAAAACATATAACTAACTACTTTGTGAAAACACTGACATCCGATGAATTAATTACGTGTATATAGTCACATGCAAAAAATAAGGGGGCACAGTAGTGCACCCCGCTAAGCAACGTTTTCCATATTCATGATAAATCAGTCGTTTTTGATCAAAAACTTACAGTTTCTTCAGATGTGCGTTAAGAAAATGGATACACCTACTACTTTGGTAGTAGGTTACAGAGCTTATATCTAAATACTTATGAGGTACATCAAGAACCGCTCAGACAGAAAGGAGCGTGTGCGCACGCAATTGCGTGAACAATCTAAATTTAAATTGCACGGAGAGAAAAAATTACTTGACCATGTGTCAAGCCGTTGGTCCATCCACCATAACTATTTTTCGTAACCAACAACGAATGCCGACGACATAGTGTGTAGGACCCATCAGCTACGAGCTATTGTATAAATAGAAGAATATTTTGAATAAAAAGTAATTCTTCATAGTTAAAAAAATAAAGTACGAGAGTCAATTTAAATATTCATTGCCGGCTAAGAAAAACAAGCTAATGATGAACCAAAGGATTGTAAGAGCCAATCGAATAAGATTGGACTTTATGCAATAAGTTTCAAATACAGAATTTAACGTCATAAGGACTTGTTCTATCCACACTTTCAGTCTGTGCAACACTACCCCACATTTACATTGATTGTAATAGACGCTTAATTATAATTTAGACAAATAATTCAACTATGAGTAGATGGGTGGAGTTCCCTTGATTGAAGGCGTTAAACTAAATCTGTTTAAACTGGTAATTCTTGCTGCATACATCATACGGGTATAATTATAAAAATGAATTTTGATAAAACAATTCCCATTTTAATTTCATGTAAGCCTGAACTACATATCCTACAAATTGACATTCACTGTCTAAACGTTTACATAAATACATTCGAACGCGTCTTTGAGTGCGTCCAAAAAATTCGGATTTATTCCATTTTCTCACTTTTTGCACGACATCTCATACCTTTTAAATAGCTGCGCACTGCTTACAATCCTTTTCTAAGTTACTAAGACCATATTGACCAAAATAAGGTCGGAGAATCCTGTAAGCAGCGGCCCTGCCAAGCCTTTTAGACTGGTTTATTAGTCTTATTAACGTCTGCCGGGACATACGTACGATTTTGATTCGAAACTGTACCAGAATATACTTTTACAGGTTTTATTTTTTTAGCTACAATGTGGATAGAAAGATAAGATTAATTTATTAGGTTCTATGAATTTAAGGAACAGTTTCGAATCGCGAAGAAGCTAAGAACTATTATAAAATTATATAGCCTAACTAAAAATAGACACAGACTTCGATTAAGCAGTCTCTTTGGTTGCACTTGGCCGTAACATCACATTAATCTTTTAGATCGCAACGTTCCTTTCCTGCGTGGCTCCTTCTGATATCTGCAAACCACGTTTTTGAAGTCAGTACCTATGCTCTTACAGTACAGTCAATCAAGCTTACCTACTTCATGAAAACCATCTTTTGGCTTCATTGTTACAAGAATATCATCATTATACAAGATAATTTAAATTTTGTCAAAACCGAACTGGAAGTTGGTTCCCTGTTTGCTGATGCTGTTTAGTTGATGACATCCCTAGTGTTTACAAACATCGTAATTTCATCTTGCAAACATAGCATAGATATTTAAAATATAGTATCCGTTCCCTACACATCCGTGTAGTATTTCACATATTAATATGAGCTCATATCTTCAATTAGTTTAAAAACGATCAACGTTGAATCGCTGTATTTTAATCACGTATAATCGTCTAGTGTTTTAACAGTCGCAAAACAATTTTGTATACCAAATAAAATTACTATTAGATATTTCTATCTCAAGAGGAATCTGCTTAGCTTCGTACCGTTTGTTTATGCTACGAAAAAATATTACGTAAAAGAAAGAAACCTTAAAAACCCACGAAGTTATGTTTATAAGTCCTTGCCAACACCAAAATAGGTACAATTATGCTAACTTGGAGCGGGGTCATAAATTTAAAATAAAAAAGAAAGAAAATTTTTAATTGGCCCCCATTCAGCTCCATTTTGTATGACTTCTTGGCGATGTTATTGTTTTTTTTTTATATTTGCTATACAGGTGGGTAAGTACCTACAGTTAGTTCAGTTCTTTTGAAAAGAGTTCAAGAGTTAATTGTTCTATTATTTAAAAATATGATTCTGCCCTGAATATGCCATAAAAAATAAAAAACAATAAAGTGCAAATTCGCGCTCAAATAACATCGCAATCCAGAATTTTCTGTAGGTAGTTGCTTCACCGTCTCATGATAACATTCGACTTAACTTATGTACCATAAGTGAACATTACAAAAGCCACATACATAGTTAATATATATTGTTTCTATAATATAATACCTGTTTCTTCAATGAAGCTTCATTTCATTTTTTATGACGAAGGAGTTGCTCAGGAATTTCATTTTGTACGGCAACGGCCATGTGACGAGGCAGGTTATGTACATGTTACTCGGTAGATGATGGATTTTGGCAACGCCTAAAAGAATTCATTAAAATTAAAAATTGCTAGGTACTCGCAAATGTCGCACAAGACTGTTTCCAGCCGAAGGCCTCGTCTAGGAAGGGCTGTTTCCAATTTATTGTGCTTTACACCCACCTAATATCTAACTATGTATTTGACCAATTCAGACTTCCAGGTTGTACTTAGTTAATGCCCGTGTCCGGCAATGAAATATTAAGATCGTTGCTTTTTACTTTATTATTAAATTATACGTTATAATTTCGATAGAATTTATACGAATACTAGCTTAAGCCAGCGATTTTGTACGCAGTCAGTCAGTTGTTCAACAAGGCAAGACTTATAAGTGGTGATTATTCTTTATTATAAATTGGTACATTACCTGCAAGTTAGGCGCGCAGACGTCGCCGCAGCCGCTCTTGTTCCATATAAAATTGAATGCGGTAGTTTCTCATGCTGGTACATTCATGTACATGGAGAGCAGCTAAGTAGCGTATGCAGCGTGCTGAGCAGAAGTACGCTACACGGCATGTGCTGCAAACCGTCGAGCAAATCCGTCGACACACACCGCACTATTAACAAATTGAAAGGGTCTTTATTTGTGAAGCCTTTTGAAATTAGGTACTTTGAAATATATATCAGGAGCTACAGCTTACATTGGACGGCTTTTCACGTACTCCAATCCCAACAAGAAGAGCTTCAGTCGCCCTAAGCTCGTCTGTCAAAAGATTACCCTTTTCATCAAAATGAGTATCGATTGTTCTGATAAACGCTCGCTGGTAATCGTCAATATGGTCAGTATAACCTAATACCAGAGGTTCGTTCATTCGTCTTATGAATCTATCTGCAACAAATATTAAAGAAATTGTTTCAAACAGTACAACTTAGGTAACATAAAATGAGGCATTACTTTTGATATCATGTTAAACTTGATTGAGGTAGAAGGTATCCTTCCTCCGTCTTCGTATGATACGTAGGTAGGTACGTAATACTTTACTCGACTCGAGAGTCAACGCAGAAATTGTGCACTCTACTAACGATGCAGTAAGTTCATTAATTTAAGTTTAATAAAAACATACAGTAAAGCCCCATATGTATTGATAAAAAAATTGCAGTTACTTAAAGTAAGTTTAGCGTACTTATGCGGAGGGTAAGAACGTCACCAGGACACAGCCATCTTGAACCGCCGTTCACCTGAGTCTTGATTTGTTGTACAGCTGGTTCTTCGATTTTCCTGAGCCTTACACATGGAATGTTTCGTACTAGAATGGGCTTAGGGTGGATGCGCGTGGCTTGCATTGGCGTAGCGTGCATAGCCGTAACATGCACCGGAGTGGTGTACACACTCATAGTGTTCATGGGATGTTTATACATAGCATTAGTGTAAATTGGTCCAGAATTAGTAGGTCTAGTCTCTACAGGATCAGTATACATGGGATCATCCTGATCCCATAACGCTTTTACGCATATAAAGTTTAGATATTTCGATTCAGTGCTCTTAAAACTGGTGTAAATGGAATCTTTATGACAGAAGTGGCTAAAAATTGGGTTAGCGTAGATGGGAATCGTATGGATAAATCGTGTATAGATAGGATTTGTATATTTTGGATTGCTATACAAGAAGTCCGTGTAAGTCGGTAATGGCTTTATCATCCATCGCCACGGATTGTACCATGTTCGTTCAATATCGCCATACATGATGATCAGTGTCCAATGCGACCTAAAGAAGGAAAAAATTCAAAGTAAATGACAATGCATTTCGGTACCTAACTACCTACCTACCAATGTATACAGGAGGAACTTGCGATTATATTTTATAATATTTTATTTTATTATGCCACCATCTAATCGATTTTTTTAAAGATTCAAAACCTTAAGAAACTAAAAACCATAACTTTAGTAGATAGTACCTACTTAATAAGCCCTTCAGGTACGGAACCCTAAAATTAATATGTAGGTAGATATTAAATTATAATTAAACAACCTACTTATCAATAAAATTCTACCATGCAACCGTTGCAATGCGACTATCAAGTCGTTGTATCCTTTTTTTATTACATTTGATGGGCCGACGTTTGACCACTATCTCGCTGGTGGTAAGGGATGATGCGGTCTACGATGGAGCACGTCGTCTCACAAGCAACCTATTCACTCGGGCCCCGAAGACACTCAGGTTATATGTATATACCCTTCAGCAAATACAGAGTCTAAATCCTACGTGATTTGATTAATTAAGTTTTCTCAAGTCATTGAAAAGAAGGTAAGTATCAACGGTACAATTTTGTAGGCACCTATCCTGTCTAGTCGACTTCACGCGGTTACGCCTTATGTGCGCAAAGGCGTCTGGCCGTAAAGATATTATTTATTTAAATTTTTTTTTGTAATCCTACATTCATTCATTCATTTTCTCATCATATTGTCACAAGACTTCCATTGCTGAACATAGCAGTAGGTATGCCGCTACACTTTTCAGATCGGCCTGTAGGAAGCAACCTGCATCTATCAACTCCTTTCAACCTTTACCAGGTTGTCTGTCTACTTCAGGGTGGAGAATATTTTAAATTTATTTGTTAAAAATAAAAAAAGCTTTTGCCTATTTAACCAACTCAACAAAAAAGAGGAGGTTCTCAATTCGACCAGTACCTTTTTTTTAAAATCGGCTGCTTAGTCACAACTAAATAAATAAAATATATTAATTTGATTTTGTTTTATAGGATAAACCGGTAAACGAGCGGACGAGCACCTGATGGTAAGCAATCGGCATCACCTATAGACACCCGCAACACTAGAGGGATTTGAGGATTGCTGGGGATTCAGATTGGGGAGTTTTGATTCGGAGGGGGGGGGGGGAAATAATTAGGCCTCCTGTTACTTCACTCACACGACGAAACACAATGCAAGTGGTATCACTCATTCCATGCTCATTTCTGCCGAAGCATGGCTCTTCAACACACATACTTTCCAAATAAACAAGTTCATTCGGTCATTCATATTCATATCAATTTTAACTTGAAGAATAACGGACTCTCCTTTGCTCTGAGTTTATTTATGCTTTCCTTAGCAAATACACCATTCATAATAATAAATTAATACATGTAGGATGGCTGACAATGCAAGTATAATATTTTAGTGTTTGATTATAACGGACATTTAATTTTAATAGGCAATGCCTTTGGTCACCCGTGCACATTTATTCTCTTTCATATTAGACAGCTACAGGATAGGCTGGACAGCCATGGTGATGCTACTTCTCTCATGGCTTTGTCACATTTCCATAAAGATGTGGAAACTATAATATGAACATGATTTGAGTCCTCAACACAGACAAAATTTCTTCTTCCGCACCCTTCGGAGGCTCTAATCAAGACAGGCACGGGGAATACTATCTAAAAACTTGAATACCCAATGTAAGTTTCATAAACTTGGTACCTATATAGGTCTAGACCCAGTCTCCTGAACTTAATAAGTAGGTTTACAGGTGATCTACTTCATTTCACACAAATACAAGAATATAAAAACAAAGATATTTGTTTATCATTTACCAACAACATTCGATAATTTAAAAGTTATTAAATGTAAATTAAATTATATGTAGATATTTTTATTTAAGTGGGCAATATTAAAGCAGTAGTGTTTTTTTAATCGAAATAAAATCACATTATTATTATTAATTAATATTTGTTAGAACTCACCTGGTTAAATGAACACAAATAATTAATCACCTAATATTTAATTAATTATAATAGAAAAATAAACCACTCTAGTAAATGAATTTATTGACTAGCTACACAGTATACAGTATGCAGCGATGGACGAACGAATACTACAAATTAAAAGGCAAAAACAGAAACACCTGACTGAAAGAAGCCACTGAAGCTGAATATTGATCGGCCCGCCAACTGATTTCGCGCGTAATGTTACCAGACCCAAACAAACAAATAAGATCAACAAAACAAAAGCATATCAGCATAAATCAACTTTAATTTAATTATCTATAAATAAATGGTAAATTATATAATAGGTAATATGTTTACTAAATTTGTTAGGTATTTCGTTGGTTTTTAATATGATTAATAACAACGAATATTTTTATTACGGGGCCGGTAGTCTCGATATTGATTATGATAAAATTTTGTCGCTAAATTATGAACATCTATAATAGATTTTCAACTTTATTTCTCATCACATAAAGTTGAAAATATAGTATCACTGCGCCGATTCTTCTGTTGTTGAATGTCGAGACTGCCAACATTGCAATATTCAAAACCAAAGGACCGCCGTTTTACAACATGACAGCACATTTTGACATTGACACTGATTTGTTTCTATTTCCAACAGGGAGTATACAAGTCTGGAGTACTAATAATTGAATTACAAATTAAACTTTTAATGCTGGTGATAATGGTTCGACCATGCAAGCTCAGGTATTTTGCCAGATAGGAAAAGTATGGTCTAATGTAGGCAAACTCTACACTTCAATACTTATACATGTTTTAAGTGTTTCGTCTTAGTGCCAATTTGTTTAACTTTATTATCTTAATAGTGCAAAAAAAATCCTCGTATTAAAAATAATTCATGGACAATATAATAGGCCTTATGGTCTACTATATTGTCCTATTATATATAATTATATTGACCTCTTACTTATGTAAGAGGTCACAAATAGACTATTCGTTATGAAGAAAACCTTATCCGAACGAAACAAGAGCCTGCACCATTTACATGAGTGTTTTGTATGGGGGCGTAAATCATTTTCATTTTGTCGGTTCTATGTTCGGAATTACTAGTGAAATTATAAGCAAACAGCGATGTGAATATTTTTCAAAAAACCAGAATAATTATACTATCTGGTAAATCTACGGAAACCTTTATGTGACCCACAAATTTTTGATTCGGGTTTGATGGGTTTGAATCGGATGTCACGTGTGTGTGAAATCGATTGTTTGTAAATGCACACATGAGAAAATCTTAGTTTGGTACAGCGCTTAAAAAAAACAATTTCAATAAGAGAAATTCATAGTTATTAATTATTCAAATATTTATAATATTACTCCACATTTATATACTCCGTGACAAGCAAACTAGCAAGAGCCACAGACTATAAAATTATTTTGCTTCATTCCAAAGAGTCTAAACTGCGCGATTCTGCGTAAAATTATCGATTATCCGAACGCCATTGTACGCAATATAAGACGAGCGATTTAAAAAGTCCATCAATGCTACTATTACTTTTCCTTTTCCCTTTGACGGAGTGTTTCAAGTGTTGTTTTTAATTTAGTAGTATATCAATGGTAGCTTACGTACTGCTTCACAAAGTCAAAATAAGAGGGAAATATTTAAAAATAATGGCTTTTATGGATATGTGCCCCAAAGTTTTAAAGCAGATAGTGAATGTTAAGTTTTAATGAGATACTAAGTACATTATAGTCATGTACGGTTTGTGAAAAGATGTAATATTCCTTCTTTAGTCTTATTACAATATTCTAATGTCGGTTGTGTTTTGATTGTAAATAATTTGTGACGGCTGAAATGGAGGAGTTGAGGTCCAAACACAAGACATTGCAGAGCGCGGCTCACCACATTGCCCTAGAGTGTATACACCCTCAGGTAAGATTACATTCATATTGTACCATACATTACAAATGACCCAACTTTCAATTTATAAATATACTTTCAGCTACTTGAGAAGGGTGTTCTGCGATCTAAAAATCACTAATTTACTCAGCGTTGCCCTTGTCTAAATTCAGCCTCTCTAGAAAGAGGTTTTGTCACTTTTTAATAAGTTTTGTTTCATTTATTTTTGGTTTTACATCACCAATTTGCCATCAATAGTACCATATAAATGAAAATGACCAATGATAGATGATGCTGAATGAGTAATGTTTAATTAAATTTCAGATCTGATTTCCAATTGGTATAAAATTAAGAATTTTTAGCAGCCATGAAGAGCCGGATTCGTTGGGGTGTCTGCCATAACGGCTACCAGGCTGACCATTTCAAAGTATTTTATTTACAAAATTATTGCACTTTTGTGTGAGCAATGTATATAAATGTGCAAATTTTGTTACACAGCCATTCTTATCCAAATACTTGTGCAACAAATCACAAATCTGGCAAATAAATGACTTTGAATGAGAATGTAACCTACGGAAACAAAATAATAACACAACTATTTTGCTTAATAGCATACTATCTCCGATTACCTAATTAATGTTTTATTTTGTTTCCCTAATAAGCTTCTTGTACAAATCACATAAGTCAAAATGAACACTAATTATGTTTAAACCAAAATTTGCACCTCACAAGGAATCTTTTAAGTCTAATCATTTTGGCTTAAAAGAAACATTGTATATTTGTAAAAATATGTAGTTTGTTTTATTCACAGTGTGGATGCACAAGTTGGTATAGCTATACTTATTCAGACTAAGATTCTTGAGATTTTAATTCTTTATTATTTTTCCCAGCATAAAAATGGTTGTAGCTTAATGAGTAATATATTAACGATTAGATTACGGTTTGTATCAACCAAATGTTGGATACAAATTGCTCTGGTGTGAGTACAAGGTAAAGCTATGCCAACGGCACGGTTGTTCACAGTGGTGTTTGTCCACCCATGTCTGTACATTGGAACTAGCAGTCTACACATGGGTCACCATATCACGTACACCCGTACCCCTCTCCTGTACGGCTCCAGCATGCGTTCCAGAGCACCCAGCACAGCCCCAAGATGTTTCATCCAAAGGGGCTCAAACCGCACCTTGTAAGTACACATTTTGTGCTTTGGTTTACAACGGTGTAGGAACTGAACTTATTGCTATAGTTCATAATTTATATTGGGATGCCTTTCATTGTTAATGAGTGAATTGATACAAAGCTTGGGTATCAAGCTGACCAGAGGTGCTGTGTAGAAGTCAGTCATCAGATAATTAAAACACATATAAAGGGAAACTATAGTATATTATATTTTACACATATTGAACACTGCAGCTTGGATTTTATGGCACTTGTTTGTTGTGTTTACAAAAGATATGTTTTTGTTTTCTTGTAAGTCTGCAAAACACAATTCGCTTATGTATTTTGTTTAACCATATTTATAACAAATTGAATTAATTCGTAAATTTTGTCAGGATCCACGGGCATATGGAACGCCAAATGACAGTCCTATTTTGGGCCGGGCACTATGTCTCACTCCTCGTGGCAGCCCGGTGCCAGGGCGAGTCTCCCACCTAAACGAGAAGTTCCAAGACTCATTGACACTGACATCCGACACCGATGCCTTGGTCGCCAAGATAAGCGCAATGTTCCCCACTGTCAGCGAGACTCACATCAAAATATTGCTGAAAAAGTAAGTTCTTTGGATTTTATCATGTATTGTGTCATTAAATTCTTATTGCAATTGTATTCCTATAATGCGATTTTGTTATGTTATGCGTATTGCAATAGAAGCTAATCAAAGCGCGACTGCACTGCTACAATCTGTCTGCAGGTACTACAATAGAGAAGCAGTGGTGATATCAGCACTCCAGGTGGAAAAACATCCTATCACTACTCCTGGGCCTCTCACTATGTCGCCATCTGCAGTGCGGTTGCAGAAAGGCGCTCCAGGTCTGCACTCTGCCTTACAGCTTGCTAAAGGCATGTCTGGCTCTATACCGGGCTCCAGTCATTTCACCCCATTGACTGGTACGCCACATGGTGAGATACTTTCCTTCATACAGCGAGTATTGCATAGTTTGTGTACAGTTTTGTCTTACACAGTTTCGTCTTTATCATAAGGGCACTCAGGGCCCGTGCCCAGAGCCCCGAAGGACCGACAATTTCTACGACAGACAGGCGGCCCCGAAACGTAGGTATAGCAGATTCGATTTTCACACGGAGCAAGTCTTTGTGTGATCCACAAATTATTGTTTCTGGTCTGGGTGTCATGTGTATGTGAACTTGTATGTTTATAAATGCACCCACGATACAGAAGAGAATCCTAGTGTGGTACAACGTTAACAAAAAAGAAATATTCCACAAGGGTTTGTTGTTGTAAGGCGTTATTGTCTACCCAAGGGCATCAGCGTAGTTTAAGACGGCCCTGGTCGTACATTATAATGCTCATATCTTAAGTAATTTCTTCTTCATAATAAGGGTACATGTCCATAGCACTTCGCTTTCATAATACGTATTAATATGGTAACTGGACATGCAGCGTCCGCTTATGATGTTATGACAATTATGTTGTTATGCTAGTTATGTCAAAGTGTTATTTATCCTTTACAGGTTCTCCATCATTACTGCGACCAGCATCTGGGGCTTCTAGTTACTACGGTGCCAGGTCTATCGACGGTCAGCCTCCACGACATCAGAGTCCTAAAATGAAGCTTAAGTAAGTAATGTGTTATGTACCAGTCAAACGATAGAGACAAAATTAGACCATCCAAAAATAGAGGGGTAGATAGAAAGAACTTCTTTGAAAAGTAAAACTTTATATACTCACTAGTTACTTCCGCGCGGTTTCACACGCTCTGTTCAGCTCCTATTAGTCGTAGCGTGATGTTTTATAGCCTATAGCCATCCTCGATCAATGCGCTATCCAACACAAAAAGAATTATTCAAATCAGACTTGTAGTTACGGAGATTAGCGCGTTCAAACAAACAAACAAAAAAACAAACTATTCCGCTTTATATAATAGTATAAGATACCAGAGAGACATGCTTAATGTTATGAATGACAGCGAATTGAAGTCTTTGTTTATCACTTTATTGTACTATTCGATATCATTGACGAAATTATCAAAATAATCTCTAAATTCAATGATAATATCTATATCAGTGACGGATGTAGTTGTCTGAATAATTTAATTTAAATAAAACAACTGAATAGTGCAGATGTGACGACTATGTTGGAAGTAATACGTAGAAAAGTGTCGGTGAAGCGGTGGTTGAGTGTACACCGCCGATCCCAACTGTTGAAGATTATGCCATCCTGTGTTTCAGGAGAAAAGGATAATGATAAAGAAAAATACACGAAATACGATATAACTTTGTTATTGAAAAGGTTTGCAGCGAAATGTAAATTCTATTGAATACAATCCAGTTCCAATAATCTGTTTAATGGAATTAGACAACTGGAGACAGAATTACGAAGAAACTAATCCTAAAAAACAATTTTACAACTACAGGTACCTCAAGAGTATTTTCCCGAAGGCCGAAGAAACATTGATCCTAGATGTGCTGGCGAATAAGGACAACAATGTGCAGAAAGCGAGCGAAGAGTTGATAGGCATGGGTTTCAGTAAGAAGGAGACCATAGTGACCACACAGAAAAAGGAAGCTACACCACAGCCACAGAAGAAAGTCGTCACCATTATGAAGACCTTCGCGGAGAAGTGTGAATGTAAGCATTATTTAATTTATGTAACATCTTGCTTTTTAATCAGAGGTACAAGTTTTTCATAACATCATCACGCCTTTTAGGCAGAGGTGCACATTGCACATTGTACAGTGGTACAATGCAACACCCACTTTTCACTATTTATGTTATGAGTCCCATGTAATAGGGTGTGAGCCTATTGCCATATACCGGGCATAGTTCCAGACTCCGTGCTACTACTGAGAATTTTTTAAAAACCCAGTAATACTTTGCCGGGGAATCGAACCCGAGACCCCTTGCTCGGCCGTCGCAATTGCGACCACTCGGCCAACGAGGCAGTCAACAACAAGTTTTTCAGTTTAGGGTTATTCCCGTTTTGTAATACAGGCCCAACTTTCGTATATTAGGCTCCTTTTTTAATTTAGAACACCCAATACAAAACTAATAATTTTTGCCTAACACCCCCTTCGGCGCTTGCGACTGGACGAATCACTTGAACTAAAGTTTTATCATTTATTATTACAGTAAAAGAAAAACTGCAGAAGAAATACACCGACATAGCAGAAAGAGTGATAGCTTTGGCATTAGAGAGTGTGGACTATCATGAAGAGAGGGCAGAACAGATCCTTAATGCTGTGCTGCAGGATGAAGCGGCTCCTAAAGCCGTGAAGGTTGAGGTCAAGGAGTCATTGAGACCAGCCACTGCGGAGCCGAAAAAGGGGTAAGATGCATGAGCTATTTGATGTTAGGTGATTAACTGAAGAAAGTAAGCTGGGATGTTCGGACTCTTGAAACTACCTAATACTCTATAGCTGACTATATCTTCATTTGTACCGACTGTTTTCTGTGACATCATTCATTATGACAATGTCATGATGTTATGAATTTATTATAGAAAACGTTCTAAATCCTTGGTTTGTATTATAACTTTCGTGAGACATACTAAATTTATTATTATGTTGTCGACTTACTCACCTAATGAGACTAGTCGAGTTCCTCGTCAGACAGTTTCGTTAGTAAGCCGCAAACATAATAATTACCATCTAAGTTTTAGTAAATCCTGCGGATAATTTAAAAAGACATATTAAAAGGATCGAAAAGTATTTTATGAAATATCCCAGCTTGCTTCCAGTATTAATAAATAAACTGACCAGTGGTGGTTTTTAAACAACAATTTAATATAGTTATTAAGATATTATCACCACTTTGTTCAAATTGGAGTCAAATTCTGCTCAAATTTCTCTCCGCTCATTTCCACTATACTTTAAACTACTGTTCTGTCTTCAAACTGATATGGTTGCTCGTTACAATAGATTTTCTGTGCCCACAACCTATGTAATACACAGATTCCTTATTTGAATTCAAGAAGTTTGACTTAACATAAAATTGATGACGGAATGATGGAAATGTTAATAGGAGCCGTCAAATCTTATAGAATATCCTTCTTTATGAAACATAAGTTTCGTAAGTGAATACCTAATGTAGTGTCCTTTTGTATATTGTTCTATATCGCATTACAACTACAGTAAGTTATCTGTGTATACTTTCTGATTTCAACCTTAATCCTAATGCTTTTTAGCTTCTCATACGAACGTGTTGCTGAAATATGATAAACATTCTATTGTATCTAAATATTAGCAGCCAAGAGAATAGCTTGAATGCAGGATTCGAAAAAATAGTCGAATATGAAAGAAACTATAATAATTTGTCTTTTTGTTCATTTAATGTACATACCCTATGGTTATCGTCTTATCATTTAATGATATTTTAGCAACACTAAGACATACATGAGAAAATTATTTTTAATTCCGCGGAGTTGATGAGTACTGGAAAAGAAATGTGATACACTTAATGAGTGATGTTCCCATATTTAAGTAATAAGTAACTGAACAGTAAACCAACGCTCATTCCAAAACATTTCAGTGTTGTATAAAACCTGTTTTGATTATGACATCAGTAGCAGATATATATAAATTAAAATTAAGCGATGTGTATTATAGTAAAATAAATATAATAATCACGGTGTTACATTTAATTTAATTAACGCATTGAAGCCTCTGCTTAGCATTCTGAACGCGAGGCTTTGTAATTGGCGCTCAGGTGACCATAGCCACCTGTAATATTAGCTATTCTCAATGCATTCAATAATAATAATTACAATATCAAGTTAATCATTCGTACTCATCGCCTCCGCTCCTCGCGACTCATGCAAATCGTGCGCCAGTTTTCACGCGGAGGTGCGCTCGCCGAGCCCGGTACCCGCGCCCCCCGCATCCCGCCGCATCAAGACATGGACCGAGCACTTGAAGTATGTTATTCTCGCTTGACGAAACTGGGTCTTATTTGTAACGCTATAGCTTTTGTTCTCCTTTGGTAATTGGCAAGTCGTCAGGGTTTGAAAATATGTCCGTCTCCAATAATATTGTTTTGTAAATTGTGGTGCAATGTTGAGGTGATGAAAGAAAATAACTTCCTCATATTATCAGCTATTTGTCTGATTCATAATAATACAAAAACTTTCAATCATTAATAAATTCAAAACTGCTGAATCACACCTGAAACATGTAAAGACAGCATTTTACTTGTGTGCTGACGTTCTATTATAAATAATAGTTCTGAAGTTCGATGATTCATTGACAATTATCTATCATTGTTCACTCGCTACTTCAAGAAATATATATCAAGTACTATCAGTACCTATCAGTATTGAAAATTGAAATAACGTAGTATTGTTTTGCATTAATCAAATTATATTTATAATAAAAACCAGAACCTACTTGATTATAAAATATTAGTGGAGATTTGGAATATAAAATCAAATTGGACCCAGCATCGCTCCTTGCTGAATCCCACATTGTGATGGTACAAAGTAAAATGTGTGTTTGATACAAAACGTAATAATTATATGTTATTGTGAATGTATTTTGTGACTGTTTTGAGATTAGTTAGTGTGTGGGTCGTGTTTGACAAAAGTTTTGTACAGCATGGTGTGTATGGTAGTCAAAGGCTTACCCCTGTTCGACTGGTTCAAAAGCTTAAGCAGCAACAGTTATTTCAATTTTAATGTAAAATAGTTCTTTTTACGTTCTTTACGAGTGGCATGCAGTCGATAAAGTTGATTTTAGACTAAATTTTACCAATCATATTAAAATAGTAGATTTGTTGCAATAATTGCTTTTGAGATTTTATTGCCGAATTGGGTAGATGACGGGGTATGCAAATTAAAAATATTAATTAGTCCGTCAGTTAGATGATGAAAAAAATATTAGACACGTGTTTTTTACTATGTCATACACTAAAAAAATACTTAGATAAACAGATTGAAGTTTAGGAGTGGGAGGTCGCTACGTCACACGTCCCTATGACACGTAGCAACTCTTGCCGTCACACAATATTTCAAATCAATATATCGTCGAAAGTATTTAAGTTTCAAAAAAAGGAAAAAAATACGCATCTAATGTTTTAACATAATCTATCAGACGGACATTAAAAATAAAATTAGGAAACTGTTGTAAAGTTTAGACATTTTACTTATTAATATATTAATAGTATTAATTTTATCTATCATACGTATTGTTGGTTTGATTACAAATTGTATTTGTTTTTAGGTAGGAATGATTTAAAATAACGCGAACATTGAATTGTATGATTTTTATTTGTTTAAATGGTGGTTTTGTGTGTGGTATATGGTTCTTAGAATCATCAAAAGTGATTTTGATAGTGTAGAATTATGTCAAGAAAAAAAGTATAGACAGGAACCATATTCTAGAGTTTTATTTAGATTTTAATCACAATGAAATGATTGATTAAGAGTTTTCAGTTAGTGAATAGATTTAGTTCATCACGCCTAGATCTTGTTAGTCCGTAGTCATCATGTTCATGATCATTTTATTATTATTTAGCTTCCTCAGAGTCACTTTCTACCACCAGTTTTTTCAGAAGCACTAGCTTCGAAGTTTCCTTAGATAATTAACTTCTGTAGTATGTTAGGTGCATGCCGTGTCGTAGCAAGATTTTCTTAGAACATTGGTTCAGATATTTGTGGACTGCGAATGTTGCAGGCCGATTTTGAAGACCAGTAGCAGCGTGGATGCCAAGTTCAAGTCACAGTATTGCTCGCCCACGAAAGGTCCTAATCCTTCGCTACGACAAGGACCAAAGGACAGTTTGCTACTGTATGTATTTAGACTCTAGGATCATGTGTATAAGGATTGTTTTTATTTGTAGTGTTCTGTCATGTGAAGGGTATAAGGCATTGATAACTCAGATTGTTGATATATTTGTGATTTATACATATGTATGTGGAATGTGGTCTCCATATAATCGGAGAGTTTTTTAAACAAATGTTTTAAAGTCTTCATTATAGAAGTAAGTCTTATGAAACGTCTACCGTTGAAAATGTGATTTCGACTTTATAATCATAAAGTGGAATAAGTGGAATATGATTGATATTTTGTTGTCTATTCATAAAACTTATCTTAACAAACTGCTGACACGCTACTAACCACAACACAGTACTTATTTCTTCCTTCCATAATACTATTAAAACTATAGCAGCCAAATCCACAATTCACGCTTGGAATCACTATTTTAATTCAAAGGTGCCCAAATAGTTTAAAGCAAGCCTGTTTTTCGTGATAAATTATGTAGGTATAATAAAGCTGTTCAGCCTGGTCCCAAAAGGAAATTTCACCAGCCAGTGTAGATTTGTACCATATTTCATGGAGTTTACTCGTCTCCTGATGTACTATCTTCTTTTAATTTTAAAAATATGCTCTGAGACGATATATTGTACTTTCTAGGGAGGACTATATTCCATGGACGGGACCAGACCCTGAATTGCGAAGTGGCCAAGGTGTGAAGCCTGAGGGACCAGAGACCCGTGAAAGGCCTTTCTCCCTAGCTCGTGGCCCCTCGGGGCTCGCGAAAGGCGCCGCAGGACTCGCTAAAGGATCTCTGTATTCGAAATTGAACAAGAAATCTGCGAAAATGTGAGTATTGAGGGAACTTGTAGATATCATAGATTAATAAGCAAAGAATAGGACCAACTCAAGTTGGGACTCTGTGAGTGGCCATGGGTGCCGATTACTGCCTATTAGTGCCGATTACTGCCCATTGGTGATACGTCTATTCGTTTGCCGCCCATTTCGTATAAAAATAAGTTGTTATACTTAAATCTTTTCCAAAATAATTATGTGATCTATGTGTAAGCATTATATTTTTGTAATCTATCTCAACAAATATATAAATACAACAAATATATAATATAAAGGAAAGGCGTGTTCGTTACACTATTTATAACTCTAGAACGTCTAAATCAATTTGGATGAAAATTAGTGGGGAGGTAGCTTAGAACCAGGATATGGACATTGGTTTCTCTTAATCTAATACTTATTTACTTTTTACCGAAAATAACGAACGAAACGGGGATTGCGCGTACGAAGTCGCGAGAAATAGGTAGTCTTTAATAAGTAAATAACAATATTCATTTTTAATATTTCAGTATCGGCTGAACGGATCGAGCTTACGGCGCACCATCTTCGCATAGCACATAACATGTAAATCTTAGTTCAGTAAGTTGTAAGAAGTACAAGTAGCGGTGGCGTTATATAATATGCATTTCTGCGCGGTTTCACCGGCTGTTAGGCTCTTTATGATCCCGAGTGAGACAGAGACAACACTCTGCAGAGCCTGTAAGCACTAGCTAATCAGTGCCTTTAGCCAAACGCCACTTTAGTGCTTGTCTACAGAGAGAGTAGAAAACTAAATGTATGGGGATGACACTGACAAGTGTCAAAATTTACATCAATTGCATATAATTTGGTTTTCTATTCTACATGTAGACAAGCGCTAAATGGCATTTGGCTACAGCTGCAGAAGGCTTAGTACGATTTTGTCTTATGCTTAACGAGACCGCGTTCGGCGCTCTGATTGGCTTGTTCATTAGATTCGGCCAATCAGAGCGTCTCGTTAAACTCGTACTAAGCCGTAAGGTTCTACAGATCTGCTATATCACCTAAACATACATTATATTATACCGCTACTTGTACAATGTTTCATCTATTAGCAGGATTGGAATAAAATGACGTACGGTCGGTTTCACAAGTGAATTTAGAACGTTATTTGTCTGAAATATCTGCCAGGAAATATAAGAGCAGTGGAACTGGCCCTTAGATGTATGTGTAATGTATATACTAGTTGGTTAGTGCGTCGTACAGAACCACGCATTGTTATACCATTTCTACCCGCAGTTTTTCAATATTTTCTTGACAAATACAAAGTTACATTAAAATAAATCATAGTTTTAGACTAATTTATTATTATGCGTCTTTTAGATTTTTGTAGGATATTTTATTCCGCGCCTTATGTCTTAGGAATTAGGTTTAAGATGTCATTTAATTCGAAATCCTGTTGCTAAATGAAACACGCGCATTTAAATTATTATGTAAAAATGATCTCATTATTTTTAAATACATTCCTTGATAAACTTTGCTCAAGAGAAATATATCGATTACGATTAGGAGGCACTCTAAATATTACTAAATTCTTGCCTAAATAATGTTTAATGCTATTTTTATATGAACAGTAACTCAAACCATTTTTATACGTCCTTGTTTATTTTTTGTTTCATTAATAGGATAAAATGAAATATGGTATTCAAAAGAGCCTTGAATTGTTTTGTCTCTTTTCATCTTGAGGAGTACGGTAGAGATGAAAATACCTTAGGATCATCTTTGAGTGGTTTGGAGATTTAAGGTCATCGCACGTCTCCGGCACCCAGCTATTAACTTGTCATTTAAATTCATATTTAACACGTCGAGTACCGGTTTTATAGACACAATTAAAGAACAATAGGTCGCGGTCACCGATGACCGCTTGGTATTTGACAGTTTAAATCGAATGACATATTTCATAACGTCATCTTAAAAAAGCTGCAAACGCGTCGCCGGCGTCTCGGCGCCCGCTTACAACCTTTTTTATATTGTTTTCAAAGAAATAATCGCGGAAGAGCCGTGCTTATTAGGTCTGCTATCTATAGTAAATTTACGGAGGATTCGAGGTGTTAAAAATAGATTGATAAGCATCAAAACATAAGTGTGGTCCAAGATTTGGTTAGGGAGTCGCCATTTTAGCTTAATTTAGTGATTAGGGTGTCAATTAAAGGTTTTCATTGCAATGTCATATGTAAGATATTACACGAACCTTTAGGTCGAAGAAACTAATACCGCTAAGACAATTTCAATTGCTAATTTGAAGAACGTTGTGATTGCACCCTTCGGCACTCCCTTCTCCTTTCCACCCATGCCTATATAAACGTACGCGCCTAATGGATATAGTACAAATGTACACAGCTAGTATATTAGATTGATGATCCGATACCCCGTTCCATATTGTAAAATATATCCTCGGTTTTAAACGACTTCAAAAATGTATGGAGGTTCTTTATATACTGTCTCGTTAGCCGAGTGCCGGGCAAAAGGTCTCGGGTTCGATTCCCGGGTCGGACAAAGTATTACTGGGTTATCAAGAAATTCTCAGTACCTATTAGCACGGAGTCTGAGATTGTGCCCGGTATATGGCATTAGGCTCACCCCCTATTACATGGGACTCATAAAATAAATAGTGAAAAATGAGTGTGACATTGTACAGTGGCATTAAGTGCCGTAATGTGCACCTCTGCCTACCCCTTCGGGGATGAAAGGCGTGATGTTATGTTATGTTATAAAATCGTTAACCACTCGATGCAGTTTCTAAGCAATTCCTCAAGGTTTGAGAATTACAATCATAGATTTGTATCCATATTTCCAGTTAGATCGGTTGCTAGTACAATTTAGGATAAAATATTGTTCTTTGCCAAAATATTCTTCTTGTGGTTTGTTAGTTTTTTATAGTATTTTTGTAGCTTAACTTTGAACTTTTTATTGATTTGGAGACGCATACCCAAACTGACAAATATCTACGACAGGTTTACAACTTTTTTTAATGTAGTAAAATAGCCATTCAATGGCGATCAATGGGGGCTACCGTCACCAGATTCTCAAACGTAGCAAGATATTTTTTGTCCAATCATAGCAGTTGCACAAATATTGAACGTCCAACGGCATAACTTTACCTAATTCCCTATTGGACGAAGAACGAGAGGTGTACACTAGTGCTATCTAGTGAGAAAAAATACGGTAGGACCCATTTGCTTGCCACCGTCCACAACTAGTAATGTTGAGTACTAAAACGTCTCTCTTACGAAGTATGAATAAAACTGTGTGAATATATAGTGAGTGTACCACAATACAAGATGTGATGCGATTTTCAACACAACATATTCTTAACTTTATAGTTTACTAATTACTACAGACGGCTTAATACGGGTTTATTTTATGTTTAAGAGATCGAATTGCTACCACGTTCGGCGTTCTGATTGGCTGGCTCCAATGTACCGACCAATCACAGCGAACTAGAAAAATTCTAAGCCCCTTTTATAGTCCCCTAAATAAAATTAACAAGCCACAATGAAAATCGATAGACTTGTGTTGTGCCCAGTACTTCCCGTCTCTTGCGTTATTTAAATAGATGTAATTAGTAATTGTATTGTAATTACTATATCAGGGAATCTTTAATCCGGCCATTGAAGTGTATGAGAAAAAAATGTTTAAAAGAATGTAAGAATTTTGAAATATTTTGTGGAATGATACGAGTGAAGAGATTGTTAATAAGCTAAGCGGATAGAGAAACGTGGCCCTAAATGTTGTAAAACGAAACTTACTTCTATTACTACATATACAATAAGAACGTTTTTTGAAATTCAATTGTGTAGGATACCTCAAATGTTCATGTGGACTGTCGAACAAAGAGTTTGGATTAGAACCATGCAAATAACTTGCAGTTCACGCAAAAGCTTACTTTATTAATTTGCAGTTACAGTTAATTTTTTAGAATCAGTTTTAAACGGATGTTAAGCTAAAGAAAAATGAACTTAGTCATAAAGCGATACAGTTCCACCTCCGTTCGTCTCTTTGTTCGACAGTACACAACCAAATTCCCATATAACCAAGGTAGCATTTTAATAAACACTTTACAAATAACCATATTACATAATGTAACGTTTATATAATAATAATAAATAATAATAATTACGCTTAATAGAAAGAATTTTACAATAACATTCTGCCTTCAAATGGCATAGGGATCTAATTCTGTTTATTAATGTTTAAACACAAACTGTGTGTGATTATAACTAAAAACTAAGACAGCCTCATTACAGAAATGGTGTAAGTCAGTTGGATAGAAAATAGTTTAATTTATAAACATTGACTTTTTATCCTATTCTACTAAGATTTATGCCATTCAGCTTAACCTGTATAATCTATGCGATACACAATTTATTTTCTATTGTGTCTTATATCCTGGCAGTCAAGAGGTTAAGACATAGCTTCCTAAAAGATCATGCCCTGACACTGAAGTTGTTATTATTTTCTTTAAATGTTGCCCCATACTAAGATTTCAGACGGGGCACAAAGAGGTTGAGGCCGATACGGAGCCGCGAAGAACTTACACTTGGGGTAGTTTTCCCCCTTCAAAAAAATACTAAGATTTTTTCCTGTACCGTAGGTGCGTTACCAAACATAGAATTTTACATACAAATGACACCCACGCCTGGAACAACAACTTTTGAATCACACGTTCCACGGCAGCCAGTTGCCCGGCCACCGCGCCATCGTGCAGTGCGATTGATTGAATAATAAACGGAATTGGTGCCCTGTGTCCAAATCTAACGGTCTATCATTATAAAATAGTGTTTCAAATAATCACAACATTACACGTTTAGTATAAATTAGCTCTTACCACCGAGCTGACATTCGCTGCTAATTAGCATAATAAATTATTTTTGTACATATTATATTATAATATAATCGTTTTAGAAGTTTTTGAATACTATAATGTCTGTGCAATATCATTATCGAATCGCTTTTGATATGAATCATAATATTTACGCACGGCTAAGCAAAACAATCAAAATTAGACTCTATTTGTATTTTCTTAAGAAACAAACGACACGTATTAAGAGTAGTTGTGGTAGGCTTAGTGTACACTGTTCTATGTACTTGTGACGTCATTAGCAATGGCAGTTAGAGAGTTTGTTCCCCGTGATTACTGCATTTTTTTAATAATATACACGAACAATTTGACTTCCCTTTTTCATAATTTAGTATTAACGGCTGTGTCTATTAAAGATATAAGTATTCCTTCCGTATACAGTTCTTATGATGGTTTCGAAATTATTGTAATATTTTGTGCCAATTTTACCATTCATACATCTAGATGTTGTGTAATTTAGCGTAATATGTCCACAGTACCGTCATCGAAGGTTTTACTTACATGTTATATTTATACGTGCAATATTTTCATTTTTACTATTGGTAATCTTTTGAATAGATTTGATGTGCGAAGGCGTGGCTCTTTACTGAATAAATCGTTTGTACTACTTAAAGTTTAGAATCAGGCCTCATCTTAACTCAATGTCTCCATGTATTTAAGTGTTGTATAAATTCAGAAGATTAGGCTAATTTCCAATTTAATATTGTGTGACATGTGGCAAGACTATAATATTA